CAACCCTCCCCTGCCTTCCCTCTGAGGTTTGACAGTCTGATCAATGCTTCTCTGTCTCTGGATCTGTTTTTGTTCATCAGTTTATGTTGTTCATTATATTCCACAAATGAGTGAGATCATGTGATATTTATCTTTCACCAACTGACTTATTTCACTTAGCATAATGCTCTCCAGGTCCATCCATGCTGTTGCAAATGGTAAGAATTCCTTCCTTTTTAGAGCAGGGTAGTATTCCATGTGTAGATGTACCACAGTTATTTAATCTACTCATCTGATGGGCTGTTTCCAAATCTTAGCTATTGTAAATTGTGCTGCTATGAACATAGGGGTGCATATATCCTTTCTGATTGGTGTTTCTAGTTTCTTGGGATATCTACACTAATAAAAGAGAAACATGCAAAGTGATGTCACTCCATTACACCCACCAGCCAATCAGGATGTGTATGCAAATTAACCCAACAAAGATGGCGATTAATTTGTATATGCAGGCGCAGAGCGAAGACTGAAGGCTCCGCCCAAGCGAAGACTGAAGACGACTGAAGACTGAAGAGGCTTGGCTTCTCTGCTGCGGTTGGAGTGGAGAAGCCTCAAGGCTTGCCTTCTCTGCTGTGGCCAGAGCAGAGAAGCCTCCAGGCTTGGTGCCAAAGAAGAACTAAAACCTATCCTCCTCAAACTATTCCAAACAATTCAAGAGGAAGGAACACTTCCAAGCTCATTCTATGAAGCCAGCATTACCCCAATCCCAAAGCCAGATAGACACTACAAAGAGAATTACAGACCAATATCTCTGATGAACATAGATGCTAAAATCCTCAACAAAATCCCAGCAAATCAGATCCAGCATTACATCAGAAAAATCATACACCATGATCCAGTGAGATTTATTCTGGGTAAGCAAGAATGGTACAACATCCACAAATCAATAAACATGATACAATAAACATCACATAAACAAATTGAGAGACAAAAATCACATAGTCATATCAGTTGATGCAGAAAAAGCATTGGACAAAATCCAACAGCTTTCTTGATAAAAAGTCTCAGCAAAGTGGGAATAAAGAGATCATACATACCTCAACATAATAAAAGCCTTATACAACAAACCCACAGCCAACATCATACTCAATGGGCAAAAACTAAAACCATATCCCCTAAGAACAGGAACAAAACAGGGATGCCCACACCACTATGCTCAATTAATATTTGACAAAGGAGACAAGAGCATACAATGGAGTCAAGACAGTGTCTACAATAAATGGTGTTGGAAAAATGGGAAGATACATGCAAAAAAAAACAATGAAACTAGACCACCAACTTACACCATACACAAAAATAAACTTAAAATGGATAAAAGACTTAAATGTAAGACGGGAAACCATGAAAATCTTAGAAGACTCCATAGGCAGCAAAATATCAGACATATGTTGCAGCAATATTTTTAATGATACAGCTCCTAGAGTAATGGAAAATAAGGAGAAAATAAACAAATGGGACTACATCAAAATAAAAAGCTTCTGCACTGCAAAAGAAACCATCAACAGAACAACAAGAAAGCCCACTGCATGGGAGAACATATTTGCCAATGTTATATCCATTAAGGGTTTAATCTCCAAAATTTATAGGGAACTCATACATCTTAACAAAAAGAAGTTTAAAAATCTAATAAAAAATGGGCAAAAGACCTAAATAGACACTTTTTGAAAGTGGACATACAGAAGGCCAAGAGACATATGAAAACATGCTCAAAGTCACTAATCATCTGAGCAATGCAAATCAAAACGACAATGAGGCATCACTTCACACCTGTCAGAATGGTGATCATCAACAAATGAACAAACCACAAGTACTGGCGAGGATGTGGAGAAAACTGCTGATGCGAATGTAAACTGCTGCAGCCATTGTAGAAAACAGTATGGGGTTTCCTCAAAAAATAAAAAACTCCCATTTGACTCAGTAATCCCACTTCTAGGGCCAAGAGACTGAAAACATGCTCAAAGTCACTAATCATCTGAGCAATGCAAATCAAAACGACAATGAGGCATCACTTCACACCTGTCCGAATGGTGATCATCAACAAATCAACAAACCACAAGTACTGGCGAGGATGTGGAGAAAACTGCTGATGCGAATGTAAACTGGTGCAGCCATTATAGAAAACAGTATGGGGTTTCCTCAAAAAATAAAAAACTCCCATTTGACTCAGTAATCCCACTTCTAGGAATATATTCCAAGAAAACAGAAACACCAATCAGAAAGGATATATGCACCCCTATGTTCATAGCAGCACAATTTACAATCGCTGAGATTTGGAAATAGCCTAAGTGCCCATCAGCAGATGAGTGGATTAAAAAACAGTGGTACATCTACACAATGGAATACTATACTGCTGTAAAAAAGAAAGAACTCTTACCAATTGCAACAGCATGGATGGACATGGAGAGCATTATGCTAAGTGAAATAAGCCAGTCAGAGAAAGATAAATATCACAGGATCTCATTTGTGGAATATAATGAACAACATAACTGATTAATAAAAATAGATACAGAGACAGAGAAGCATGGAACAGACTGTCAAACTTCAGAGGGAAGGCAGGGGAGGGGAGTGGTCGTAAGAGATCAACCAAAGGACTTGTATGCATGCATATAAACATAACCAATGGACACAGACACTACCGGGGTGAGGTAATGTGCTGGGGGTTGGGGGTGGCCTGGGAGTGGTCAATGGGGTAAAAAAAAGACACATAATTCTATATATAATACTTTATTCAAGAATTTTTTTAAAAGTCTCACTAAGTCCCTTGACACTCTCATTAATTTCCTTGAAGCTTTCATTAAGTCCCTTGAAGCTCTCATGAAGGTCCTTGAGTAACCTTATAAATATTGTTTTGAACTCTGTATCCAGTAGTTTGCTTGCTTCCATTTCTTTGATTTGCACATGTTTCTTTGTCTCCGCATTTTGGCTGCTTTCCCATGTAACATGTTTCTTCGTCTCCGCATTTTGGCTGCTTTCCCATTTTTGTTTCTATGTATTAGGTAGAGCTGCTATGTCTCCTGGAATTGGTAGTGTGGCCATGTGTAGTAGGTGTCCTGTAGGGCCCAGTGGCTCAGTCTCCCCAGTCACTCAGCTGGGCACTCTAGGTGTGCCCCTGTGTGGGCTGTGTGCACAGTCTTGTTCTAGTTGAGCCTTGTTTGCTGTTGGCGTCACTGGGAGGAATTGACCTCCAAACCAATTGGCTGTGAGGACCAGCTGTGTCTACAATGATAGACCTGCTGTGCAGGAGACACTCCTATGGAGAATGATTGCTTCAATTGAGCTTTGGTGCTCTGAGTCTGCCTCTTGAGTGTGTCACTTGTGGGTGTGTAGAGTTGTAATCTGCTATGGTCTGAAGCTGTCCACTGGGTGCACTGGCTCTGGGGCCTCCTAGGAGGTGCAGTCAGCCTGCTTGGGGCCACCCAGCAGGAACTACAGAGAAATCTGCAGATGGCTGCTACTTGTATTGGGCTAGGAAGTGCCCAGGTGAGGCCCAGCTGTGAAGTAAGGCAGCTTGGGGCTAGTGCCAGGTCTTGGGCCTTTTATTGATAGGTGTGGGGCACACCAACTCCAGCTGCTGCTTGTTTAAGAGATTTTAGCAAAGTCTGAAGCCTGAGCCAGGACAGGCCATTCACATGGAAAAGCAACTGCAAACAGCTTTGGTGGGGCTGCAAGTTGGATGGGGCAGGGTCTCACAGAATCATCAAGATGGAGCCAACAGTGTGGGCCAGGCTGATGGAGACTCAGATATAGCTGCCAGTCAGTTCTGTGATGGGGGAGGTCCCAGAATAGGAGCAATGAGCTCTGCAAGCACCCCTGTCTGGGAGAAAGCTGCCACTGAGATCCTGCCCTGATGTCAGACAGTCTAGTTCCTCCCCATGTGCCCCTGGATCCCCCAAGCTGCCACTAAGTGCTGGAGCTCAGAGGAAGTGAGACCATGTAAGTTCATGCACTGGCCCTTTAAGAGGAATTCCTGGGACTCCAGCAGTCTCTGTGTCACTCAGCCCCAATCCCCACTGGTGTTTACAGCCTGTAGTTATGGGGACTTCTCTTCCCAGCTTTGGACCCCTGGACTGGGGGGCTGGTGTAGGGCTTGGACCCCTTGCTCCTCATGGTGGGGGGGATGGAGGGGACTCTGCAGGAACTATCTCCTCACAATTAAAAAACATGCAGCACATGGGTGTTGGACCAGCCCGTTCTGTGCCTCTGCCCCTCCTACCAGTCTCGATGTGCTTTCTTCTTTACTTCTCTAGTTGTAGGACTTCCATTCAGCCAGCTTTTAGGTGATTCTCAATGATGGTTGTTCTGTATTTTAGTTGTAATTTTGATGTGGTTGTGGGAAATGGTGAGTACCTTTGTTTACCTACACCGCCATCTTTGTTCTCCAAATCCCCACATTTTTAAGTGCTATCACTTAGTTCACATATCAAAAATTGGGTGGGCCACACAAAATTTCATATTCAGCCTTAAGCAACCAGTTTGCAAACCACCCCCCATTGTTTTCGTTCATTTGTTCAGCAAATAAAGGATGACCATCACGACAGCTCAGACACAGATGTAAGCACTAAGAGACTTATAGATACTTCACACTCATAAAAATTCATTTCATCTAAATTTCTTTACTTTGCCTCTTCAAAGTTAGTTGAAAGCAATGTGCAAATTCTAAGAAAACACAATCATAAATGTTGCATTTTGCAAATAGAATCTATTGAATTAACCTATGAGCTAATAATTTTTAAAATTTTCATTTCCTACCTTTTTGATATAGTTCTGAGTTTTAACACATTATAGTTTTGTATAACCACCCCACAATCAGGATTCAGAACAGTTCCAGCACCCTGCACATTCCCTTGTTCTGCCCTTGATAATCAAACCCTTCCCTCACCCTGGCAACCACTGATCAGTTATGTCCCTATTTTTCCTTTTCCAGAATGTAATATAATCATACAGTATGTATTTTGAGAGTGCTTTTTTTCACATGGCATTCTGCCTTTGAGATTCATCCATGTTGTTATGTCTATCAATAGTTATTCCTTTTCATTGCTAAGCATCATTACACTGGGTGGATGTACTCATCTGTTTATCTGTTAACCTACTGAAGAACATTTGGGTTGTTCCCAGCTTTGAGCAAGTTTCTATAAACATTCTTGTCGAAGTTTTTGTGTGAACATGTTTTCATTTCTCTAGGGTAAATACCTTGGAATGAGATTCCTGGTTTATATGATAAATGTATGTTTATCTTATAAGAAACTGCCAAACTTGCCTAGAGTGGCTGTATCATTTTGCATTCCCACAAGCAATGTATAAATGTTCTAGTTGCTCCACATCCTCACTAGCACTTGGTATTGTCAGCCTTTTTTTTTTTTTTCAATTTCAGCTACTCTAATTAGGTGTGTAGTGGTATTGTTGTGGTTTTGACTTGCATTTCCCCCATAACTAATAATGTTGAATTTTATGAACATATATGCCATCCACATATCTATTTTGAAGAACTTGTTCAAATCTTTTGCCCATTTTTTTAATTGGGCTGTTTTCTTATTGTTAAGTTTTGAAAGTCTTAATATATTCTCAGCACAAGTCCTTTGTTGGATAAGTTTTGCAAGTATTTTCTTCCCCAGTACATAGCTTGTCCTTCTATTTTATTGACAGCCTTTTGCAGAACAAAATGTTTTCGGGTTGTTGTTTTTTTTGTTAATCCTCACCAAGGATATTTTTTTTCATTAAATTTTAGGGAGAATGAAAGGGAGGGAAAGAGAGAGAAAAAAACAAAATGATTTCAGGGGTGTTTTTTTTTTTGTTAATCCTCACCAAGGATATTTTTTTCATTAATTTTTAGGGAGAATGAAAGGGAGGGAAAGAGAGAGAAAAAAAATCAGTATGAGAGAGACATATCAATTGGTTGCCTCCTGCATGCACCCCGATTAGGGCGGGGATCAAGCCTGCAACTGAGGTACATGCCCTTGACCAGAATCGAACCTGTAACCCTTCAGTCTGAGGGCTAACTCTCTAACCACTGAGCAAACGTGCTAGAACTAAAATGTTTTAATTTTAATAGTCAAATTTATTTTTAAAATTTAATGGATGCCCTAGCTGGTTTGGCTCAGCAGATAGAGCATCAGCCTGTGGACCAAAGGGTCCTGGGTTTGATTCCGGTCAAGGGCACATACCTTGGTTGCAGGATCCTCCCCGGCCCAGGCCCTGGTTGGCGCCCATGCAGGAGGCAACCAATCGATGTGTTTCTCTCACATTGATGTTTCTCTTTGTCTTTCCTTCTCTCTTACACTCTCCCTAAAAATCAATGGAGGGAAAAAAAAAGAAAATCAATGAAAAAATATTCTCGGGTGAGGATTAAAAAATAATAATAATAATAAATAAAATAAAATTTAATGGATTATACTTTTTATATTATCTACAAAATCTTGGTCCAACCCACGGTCATGAAAATTTTCTCACATTCATCTATTAGTTTAAATTTTACAGTTAGTCCATTTTGAGTTAATTTTTGTATAAGGTATGAAATACAGGCTGAGATTTGTTTCTTTGTAAATGAAGATCCAATTCTTCAACACCACATGTTAAAATGACTATCCTTTCTCAAATGAATTGCCTTTGAAGCTTTGCCCCAAAAGCCCATCATTTTTGTAGGCCTGTTTCTGAACTATGTGTTTTGTGCATCAATAGGTTTCTCCTTTTCACCAACATGTGTCTTGATTATTGAAGCTTTACAGTAAATAATAAAATTAGTTAGTGTGAGTCCTCTTTAACGTTTCAAAATTGTTTTGGCTGTTTTGTTCCTTTGCCTTTCCATGTGAATTTTAGAATCAGCTTGTCTATGTTTTAAAAAAAATTTTGCTAGGATTTTGTTAATC